TATCCCTTGTGGGACATGAGCCAACACCCTGAGTAGCACTTTGGAAAAATACGAATTGATAAAACTGAATTCCTGAAATAATCTATTTTGCTTTAAAAATGTCTTAAATATGCACAGGAGTGATAAATATAAAAATGTATGTCAGTTAACTCCATAAGTACTCTCTCAATAATTCAAAGTAAATATTATGACTAAAAGAAAACAGAGGAAGAAAAGAAATTTACCCCAGAAGTAAAAAGACAAAGAATTAGGGATGAATGTTCACTGCAGTATTATTTATAAGATAGAAAGTCTGAAGGCAGCTAAATGCTTGGCCGTGATTGAATCATGACATATACTATGGTATTTCATTATGTCCACCAAGGCGGCAATTTAAAAATAGTATAAAAAATGTATGACAATATAGAATGCAAATATAATACGAAAACATGTTTCTTTCACACACACATGACTGAAAACAGAAGCATAGGAAACTTCTGAAAGGAAATCCACTAAGACGCTATTTCCATGAAATGATACTGAGAAGATAATCTTTTTTTTTTTCTGTTTTCCAAATTATTTGTGATGGAAAAAAGAGCACGTGAGCGTTCTGCTCAGCCCTGTCTTCCGTAATGCCAGCACGGTGGCCCGCTGCTGGCTCCTCCGTCAGCGCGCTCCTTCCCGCGCGCAGCGGCCAGACAGGCGGACCGTGCGCTCACTCACCTTCCGTCTTCTTCCAGTAGACCTTCACTTGCAGCTGGCTGTCCTGGTAGAACGGGGCTCCGATTTCCAGGAGGCGCGAGGGCCGTCGCCTTTGGAAGGGGGGCTGTACCTGCACCTCACTTTTCCTAGTTTTCCCAAGGTGGTGTTCTACAACAAAGCACGACAGTCTCGTTTACCTGTTAGAAATAATCACGGAACCTGAGAGCGGTCCCAGTGTGTTTAATTCCCGCTGCCGTTCATGCATGCTTGGTGCCTGCTTTTAAAGTACAATATGATGCAACTACAGACGCCTTCACGCTCAAGCTGGTAACACCTCCCCCTTCGTAACAGGCTGGAGTGAATACCCAAAAGTAGGCTGTATATATTATACGCAATCCCCTGATTTAAACTGCTAATCAGCCTACATTCACCGGCCTTGAAAGATGCTCCGATTTAGGTAACAGGTGTACATAGTATTTCTCACATACATTTTTCTTTTGTAGTTACGCAGGAAGTAAACGAAATAATATTCAGATACCATTTCATGAAAACAACGTAGGTAGCTTTTCACAGAAGTGCCCACGTGATACATCAGGCCTGGTGCAAAGAAAGAAGCCTCAGCTGTGTCAGGTGAGTGGTGGAAAGCACAGACTGCATCAACCCAACGGACTTGCAGATCAGTCACAGCCACCAGCAGCCACTCGCTGTCCTGTTCAGACTGGGGACAGACGCCCAGGACTGACGGGTTACTGTGAGCTGTTCAGACACGCAGCACAAGAAACGAGACGCAGTGGCATCTGGACCTGCAACTGGGGAGTGGACCGTAAGGGCCCGTTCACTCATCC